TTCTTCAACTTGATCCACACTAAATCTCATTTTCTGAAAGGTCACATTCTTCCTTGATTTATTAGTTTGTGTTTGGTACTTACGGTTCTACTTGGTGATCTCTTGTCCCACCTCGTGTATCCCCTGAATCTCTTGTACCCTTGCCTTGGCATCCGCACTATCCCAAATGCAAGAAGAATTGGTACTGACTCAAGCCGAGTAAGTGGATTGAGTCTATACACAATGTGAAAAGGTGTGTGCCCCGCAGTTTGGCTCACAAACCTATTGTAATCAAATTTGGCCTGGGCTAGGAGCATGTTCTACTGCATTATGCTCTTTCCTATGAAGCACCTTAGAAGATTTCCCAGGCTCCTATTCACCATCTATGTCTTATCGTACGTTTGCACAGGTGTTGTTGAGCTGAATTGATGTATAGTAGCAAGCTTTCCCAACGAATGCAATAGTCTTGGGCATTCCATTTAGAGTCACGATCTCCCTGAAGTATAAGTTAGCAACATATGATGCATCCAGTGTTTGGTGGTAACGTACGAAATAAGCCACCTTAGAGAACCTGTCAACCACGATCATCACTGAATCTTTGTTCTTCTACTGTGTCCTTGGCAGACCCGTCATGAAATCCATACTAACATCCACCCAAAGAGTCTTAGGTACTGGTGACGGTGTGTAAAGCACTATATTTTGTCATTTGTTTTGGCCAGGTGACAAACCCCACATCCCTCATAAATTTGGGCTAAAAAAAAATGTTCCTTCACTAATGTGAGGGCTTTGCCTCGACCAAAATGTACTGCTAATCCCCGCAATGATTTTCATGAATGATGGATTCTCTCAACGAACATCTGAGAATACACAGTAGATTTTATTGGAATAGGCAGTCATCTGCTTTGTGTGACTGTTTTGTGGGTATTTCTGGGCACTATCCCCAAATCTTCCTTAACTCCTCATCTGTCTCATACAGCTCCTTCACCGCCTCAAATCCCACAACTCTGGTATGCAAGAAGGTGAGCAGCAAAAGGCAGCAGCTCAAAACATCTACTACCCGATTTTTAACTTCCATCCTTGTTCTTAAGTACAAACTAGAATGACGCCAAGAAATCAATCCAGGAAGCGTGTATGCACTTCAACTTTTGCTTTGAATGTTCAGGAACCTTAGAGCCTCATGATTCGTTGACTCGCTCGTCAGCAGATAGTGACTCCAGTGATGAAGAGCTCTCACAATGGCAAACAAATCCTTGTCGTATGTCAAGCAATTTCTCTTGGATTCATTAAACTTCTCACAAAAAAAGGCAATAAGGTGTCCTCCCTAGGTCAATACTGCTCTGATCCCCACATTAGGAGTGTCGCACTCCACTGACCGAAGTCCGATAAAACTAACATTGGGGTCTGTCACGTTCTCCTTCAAGGTTCCAAAACTAGAATGGGTTGTCTCTCCACTGGAACTTCCCACCTTTCAAAAGCTCAGTTAGGAGATTCGTAATGGTGCTGAAGCCCCTGATAAACCACCTATAGAATGACGCTAACCCTAAAAATCGCCTCAGCTCGATAAAGAACTATGGGGGTATCCAGATGTCCAACTCACGATCGCCTCTATCTTTGTAGGATCCATCTGAATGTCTGCATTTGATATAATATAACCCAAAAAATATATTCGCTCCATCATGAAGTGACACTTTCTTCGGTGACACGTAGTTTTTGTTACAACATTACCTCAAAAACCCACTTCAAATGCTACAAGTGTTCCTTCTATTAACAGATATAAACAAGGATGTCGTCGAAGTAAACAACCACAAACTTCCCTGTGTAAACCTGAAAAACCTAATTCATCAATCTCATAAATGTGCTAGGTGCATTGAACAGTCCAAGTGGTACGTCTGTCCACTCGTACAACACATCTCTGGTCTTGAAGGCGGTCTTCCATTCATCCCCCGCCCCCGTTGTGATATGATGATATCTGCTACCTAGATCAACCTTGGAAAAGACTGCGGCTCTATGTAACTGATCCAGTAGGTCCTCTAAGCGAGGGATAGGGAACATGTATTTGATTGTGATCTTGTTGATAGTTTGACCATGGATGCACATTCTCCATAAGTCGTCCTTATTGGGTACCATCAGTGCGGGAAGAGCGCACAAGCAGGTACTCTCTCTAACCAATCCCCTAATAATTAGATCACGTACTTGCCATTGTAACTCCTCGTACTCTACTGGCCTCAACATATATGCGGGCCTATTTGGCAAAACTGACGCTGGGAAAAGATCTATGGAATGTTGGATAGGCCTCATTGATAGAAACCCTCTAGTAGGTTACCAGTCATCGCCTCCTAAAACTCAGCTAATAGCTGTTGGACCATCTCCGGTGGATCCGTCTCCTCCTCAATCCCCTCCAAGATGACTAAGTTCAATGCCAATAGAGCTTCTTGAACCGACTGTAGTAAAGTGGCGCATAGGACCTCAGACTTATCCCCGACAGGTGTAGCTACTCATTTAGAATCCTTGATGGGTAAGAGATATGTTTCCCCTCCTTTGTGAACGCATAGGTGTTTTTAAATCCGTCATTCTGCGTCTTGCAATAAAAATGTCATGGCCTCCTCAAAAGGATGTGGGAGGCATCCATGGGCATCACATTACATCATACTTGGTCCTATAAATGATCCAAATGGAAAACTCGAGCAAATACTACTGATCCACTTGCAGCTTGCTTATTTTATTCAACAACGTTAGAAAATAGGGTTGAGAGTGTTTCTGTGTAACAGATCCAACTTCTTCAACATGAAAGCAAAGACCACATTCTCACATCCTTCTCGGTCAATAATGAAGCAGTAAACTTTCCCTCACTGTACACCAATTATGCCTCAACCACAAGTATTCCCTCTGCAGTTTCTTCTAGAGAACTCATCTTAAAACTAGCATTTCTCCCTCAACTTTTTAGAGCTAGTATTCCCCACTATCATCCTCGGTTGTTTCTTCATCACTCACTTCCTCCATGGCACCATACTCGATGAAGGGCGCTATTCGAATCGTTGGGCAGCTAGATGTGATGCGTCCATATCAATGGCATCAGAAGCATTTATGGGTTGGAACTACGTCAGGCATGTTGATCTTGTGCTTTTTCACACTCTGATATGTCTTGCCAATATCTTGTTTCGTTCTCCCACTCCTCTCGATGTGCTCTTGTCGGAGCCTATCGTTGTAGAGTGTGGGTTGTCGAAATTGAGGCGGGTACCTCTATTGTATCTCCACCTTTAGTGCTAAGGTTTGCATATCCTTTTGTGTTAAATGAGTTTGCAATTAGGCCACATTATTGATGGCAGGCATTAGGCCTCCCAAATACCTGGTTATGGAATGCTCATCTATCTATTTTAATTCAAATTTCAATTTGAGCTGCATAAATTTTGTGATATATTCCTCCACTAGTAGCGCTTTATGCTGCAGGTAGTGGAGTTTAATGAAATTATCCTAGCAATGGTGCAAGGGTAGGTACTATCGCTGCAAACGCCTTCTTCATCTTTTCCCGCGAAGAAATTTTATCCTGTTCTTCCCTCTACCTTTCCCTCTTCAGGTTCTCGCACCACAAAGAGGCATACTTCGTCAACTTGATGGCGACAAGCTTCACTTTTCTGTCATTGGGCATATCTTTGTATTCAAAGATCCACTCAATAATTTGCATTCATTTAAGAAAATCATTTGGATTCGTCCTCCTGTCGAAGTCCGATAGGTGCACCTTAACTGCTAGAACTGTGTGCCCTCCAGTAAACACTTCCTCTCTCAATCACCACCAATACTGAATTCTGAAATGCCCAGGTTGATTCTCCTCTTCATTGACGTCATCCCTAAAAAAGGAGTTCAATTGTTATTCCAGGCCTCCTCCATAGATCTCACTATGAAGGTCAATGATAACCTCACCAATGATTCTTTTCTCAATGGCTTTGAGCTGTTGTAGCAATTGGCGTAGTCATTGTATGCGCCCATGGTAATCATGATTAGGTCTAGCAATTGACTTCTCAGCGGCATGGTTAAGGTTTAAGGGGGTGGATATGAGGAAGGGGGTGGAGATAGGTTCGGGTAATGTGAATGCTGGGGGACTAGGGTTAGGCCAGCTTTGAAACCAACCGAAGTTAACCCACACAACAATAAAAAAAACAAATGTTATTACTGAAATTCAATAAGCAACTACAAATACCCAACAGAAATAGAAAATAACAAAGACACAAACACCAAACTAAGGCTGAATTGAATGTGGCAGAAAGTTGTTAGCAAGGTATGCAGGGTGGATGGCAGAGGAAATAGCCAAGAGGGAGGTTGGAGGCTGGCAGCAATAAGGGAAGGAGTTGGCGATCGGCCCGCAGCGAGTGGAAAAGAGTGGTGTTGGCGGCAAAAGTAGCCGCATCGGCAGGGAAGGATGGAGTTGGCGGCAAGGCAGCAGCAGGTGCAAGAATTATGGAGTTGGCGGCAGGAAAGGATGGAGCTAGCAGTAAGAAAGAGCAAGGAACGACAGATAAACACCACCTCGGGACAAGTTACAGACTGAGCACATTCTCACATTCGAATACAGTCCTACGGGTGAAAAATTGGATCTCGACGACTGTCCTGATAGAAAGTTGAATCAAACTATGACCAAAATATAGAAAACAACATATAAATACTACTATGGCAGCTAGGTGGGCTCTCTCAGATAGGCAGCCAATGCCCCATCAAGGAAGGATTATGTGGTCTCTCTCCCTATTAGCATGAATTGGTTCACGCAACCGGTTCGGCAGCTTGCAGCTACTGATTTCGGCGTCCTGTGCAGGTAAAGTACCCACGTCAATACATAAAATATATTATAATCAAGGGGTAATTTCTCTATCAAAATGAGATATTGTACGATTTAAAATTTGATGTCAGAATATCTCAGTAGGGGACAGACTACCTAATGAAAGAATGACAGCCTAAGAAATATCCAGTTCTAAATTCCAAAATATATCAGTTCATACAAAATAATGTGAGAGTCGATCAAATAGGCATACCTTTATAACCTCGTCAATCAATTTAACATCAAGAATACTCGGCATATAGCCTGCAAAATACATTTAATTTAGTAAAGAAAAAAGCTTCAAACAACTTAAGAGAAGTGTTTTTAAACTCATTACCACCTGGATTGTCCCCAGAAATGACGCTAGTTTCAGAAGGCTCCACACCAATTATCTAGCCAAGCAAGAACACAATAAGTTTACATAAATATATAAAACAAATAGCATGTCATATTTATGGTAAACTCTGTTAAAGGATATAATTAGTCGGGCATTGAGTTAATATCTAATTATTTTTTAGGAAAATGAATATTTTTTAAAAGTTCCAAGTCTACATCCTACCATTCCACAGAGTAAGACTCATATTGTGAAGTAATTGATAATTAATTTAAAAAAATATTTAATGAATCATTATATCCAAGGAAGATTGTTGAAAAACCTTTACACAACAAACCAATAATCATTGCTAATATATAATAAAGTTTTGTCCATATTGTAAAATAAGAACTATTTTAAAAGATAACTTTAAGAGGTCACATAGCATTTGAAACAAGGTAAATAAATTTAGAGAATGAGTGCAATCAAATTAGACCAATCAAAGAAATGGTAGTGTAAGACCTCAAGTATGATCAAAACATTATGACATTACAGAACTACCATGATGTTTTAACTATTTCCAGGTATTTCAAAAGGAAGCAAGCCCTCCTTGCTTTTGGCTATTCTCTCTCGGGTTAAGCCATCTATGCCCGGTTACCATTAAGTAATGAACTCATGCTGTCATAAAGATTGATGTGCTAAAGAAAATAAATCAAATTATCACAAAGATTCATGTGCTTAAGAAGCCATCTCCATCAAAATTTTGTCGGGTTGACGCTTCTAGAAAGAATAAATTGCCAAAAAAATCCCTTAACTATTTTACTTGCGGTGGTTTTAGTCTCAGAGTCAAATAAAAGTGTCAAATTAGTTCCTGGATTCTTTAAATAGAAGCTCTAATATCAGGGATTATTTCAGCCCCAGGGACTAATTAGGCACATCTATAGACTCTGGAACAAAAATGGCCCCATGTAAACATCTAGGAGATTATTTTGGCGCTTTATTCCTAAAAATAATCATAATTAAATAGGTCTGGTGAGAGATTTGTCAAGCAAATGCCCTCCTGCTATTAATAAACTCCTTTCCCTGCCGCCCATGAACCAAGCACAGCAGGAAACATATGTGGGGCAATGCAACAGAGTTGTTTTTGCCGCCCCAAGCATAGCCCAAATAACAGCAGTTTATCAAAGTTCATAGTTGATAAAACCAAACACAATAAAATGTAAACATGCCAAGGATATCAAGAATTAGAGCATCTGCACCAAAAAACATACATATACAAACAGACACACATACATGTGTGCATATGTGTGTGTGCGTGCACGCGCGTGCAGATTTGGACATCTAGACACAACTGAAAGAATAATTCTTACCTTCATGATGCACAAGTAATGTTGTAAAGAATTAACTTTCCGAGTTGAACTAGGATTTATTATGAAAAATACTTTTCCTATACAAATAGTAAAAGAAAGCTAAGCAATTATTTTAGATGGTAATATTTATTCCTCATATTTTTTCCATGTAAATTCTTCGCAAGCAATGCATGCAAACTAGAGCCAATGCATGCAAACTAGAGCTAGTATCAACCAAATGTTGTTTAACTTTTGGGTGGGCCAGGCAAAGCTTTATACAATAAAGATATATGTTGACTGTCACTCACATTTCTTGTGATTATTCCATCTCACCAAATATGTGTGATACCAGAGTTAACCCAAATAACATTAGAAACACAAATATTATCATTAAAATTCAATAGGGTTACAAACAAAGACTTTGGACAATAAAAAAACAACACAAACATAAAAGACAACCTAGAGCAATGGCGAAAGTAGTGGATGGTGGTTGGACAGCAGGTAGGTTTTGGATTGGAACTGTGAAGAACTTCAGTCAACAGGGTAGAGGGTCGGAGGGGGCTGCGACAGAAGGTAGGAGTGCTTGGAGGTGTTGGTGGCAGCAAGTTTTGGTGTCGAAGAGACTAGCAGCAGCAAATGTGGAGATTGGAAGAGTTGGCGGCAGCAAGTTGGGGTGCAAGAGGGGTTGTAGAGACAGGAAATGAGGTATGTAAGGGGATGACAACGAGCAGGGGACAGCGGCAACAACAATAAAAGGAAGGATACATACCACCTCGAAACGAGTTACAGCCAGAGCATCTTCTCGTCATTGGATACAACTCAAAAAAAGTGAAAATGGGATATCAGCGACTGTCAAAATAAAAATCTCAAAAAAACTAACACTAAACAAAGCAAAAGACATATTTGTAATAGTAGATATATAAGGATGGGATGCCTCTCCCCTTGGGCAACCAACCTAGCCCAGATCAAAGGTCGATCAAACCTTGCTCATCTAGTTGAACCATTCAGCCAGTTCAACCGCATAGCCCTCGCATCAGTCTCCTCGATTTTGAGGAGCTTCGACCTCATTCATCAAAGCTTTTGTCTGCATGAGATGGTGACGAAGTTGTTGGAACCTCCCGAGGCTAAATTCGTCGACTACGCCCTAGTAGCTAGTGAATCCCATTGTTGATTGCACTCTTTCAAAACACTAAAGTTTTCTCCACTTGCGAGCATATATCCATATCGATGAAGTCTACGAGCTGAGTTGGGTCTGCGAGTCATGCAAATACTGTCAAATCCTCTAAAAAAATCCAATGTCGGCTCAATCTAATCTAACATGAGGGTAACCTAAACCTCCTGAATGATGATGGTCATGGTGGTAGGTATCGATCGTGATGTCCTGAAATGGTCCCTATCATAATTGTCCCATGTTTGGAATTGGTGTCTAATTCCTAACATCCTCTGTTGTCACCAAAATTAGTCCCACCGACGCTACTCTAGTAGCAAGGGAACCTATGACCTTAGGCTCCGCCGAAGGAAGAAGGAAGATATGCTTCCCCTCCTTAGTGAAAGAGTGATTGCTTCTAAATCTGTCATGTTAAGTCTTGCTTCCCAAAAAAAAGATGGAATGCATCCATGGGTACCACATCGCACAACATTCGATCCTGCAGTTGACTCTCGATTAAAAACTTTACTAGGCACCTATGGTCAATTATGACTCTGTTCTCCTTCTTCAGCCATGTCAAAAAATACAACCGGGAATGTCTCTAACTCATAAGGCCTAATTTATCAATCATCTTCGTAAACATCACACTCTTGCTGCTCCATTCATCGATAATAAGATTGCATACCTTTTTGTTCAGAGTGCAAGGAGTGTAGAATATATTGTAGCGAAGCCACTGTGGATCCCTCATCTCCTCAATTTGTAGGACCCATCGAGCCACAAGCATCTCGCCCTCATCCAGTGGAAGATGACACAACTTGCACTATTCTTCAGCTACCTCCTCATTGCTAACCTCCTCTACTGTGCCCTGCTCGATAAAAGACAATTCAACTCGTCGGGCATCTAGAAGCGATGTGCCCAAATCTATGACATATGAAGTATTTTCTAGAGAGGACCATAGTAAGCATGTTAATCTTCTTATGCTTCTCACTCGGATTGGCTCCTATAGATATGCAATACCCAATTTTTGCCAATTTTGTCAAAAACAGGTGAAAATTTTGACCATTATGAGATATATCCCAAATTTAGCATTCCAGAAAGTCGACCGAGTCATTTTTATAAAATTTTGCATGTTAAATCGATCAATTTGATATGTATTACCATGCATGAATTCAAAATGTAGAGACAGATATAAATTTTTACAAGTATAAGCTTAATTAATCATAATTAATCCCTTAATCCCCATTACCGTCCCTAGTCGGCCTCTCTGCACTTTTCTTGGCAAGTAGTGGGTAGATGTGATCGAGCGGTTGGGATTTAACGAGATCCAAGTTAAATGTTGTAATCCCCACTTCCCCTCTCCCAATTTCACTCACACGAAAGACCTACGATTCAACACTGTACCGCACGCAGCCGCGCAACCCGCATGGAGCTAAAACTAATGATTTGGAGTTCTAGGAAGCAATCAAATGGTAGGAAACCCTCTTTAATAATATTCTAGATATTTCTTTCCTTCGCTACATTTTCATTTTGACATTTGCTACAAATTGAAGCATTCCATGAGATCCATACCATTGTAGCTTTGCAGGAACAACCACGAAGCTGTTAAAGCGTGAGATATGCTCTCTAATAAGTCTATTTCACAAGTTGGGAAGGGTTGAGGAGAACGAATAGAGACAAAATAGGAAGGTATTAGGGAGACATATTTATGTTAAGAAGCCCATTTGAAGCATGTTAAAACAGTAAAATTATATTCAGGGTTAAATTAAGATCTCAATTACAATTTTAATTAATTTTTTTAAGAGATTACAAATTCTAGATTGCTTACGCTAGGCAGCAAAATCAATGTGAGCTTGAGGAAACTCATCATAGGACTGCTCCGTCAATTTAACTGAAATAATGTTATGCTAATTTAAGAAAAATAAATTTTTGTAGGTTTTCATGTGATTACGCTTGAGACAATTGCATCTCAAATTTTCTACATATGGTGGATGAATGTTTGTATGGACTATATGAGTGCAAACTTAATTTGTCCATTACGATACATATCATTACTTTGTTATGAATCTGATGAATATGTTATGAATCTGCATAGACTGTTTGGATGCAAACTTGATTTGTCCTACGATACATATAATTTTACTATACCATGAAAAATAACTGTGTAAGTTCCATATGATTATTTTTGACACAATTGCAATTAAGATTTTATGTATATTGTGGTTGAATACCTACATAGACTGTGAATGCAAATATGATTTGTCCCTTGCAATATATATGATTTTACTACACTATGAATCTAATGAATATATTTATAAAATCATTGCATGTAGGTATTTGTTTACTATAATTCATCAATACATTATATGAAATGTTTTTGATGAATATTTGTCACAGAAATTAGGATTTAAAAAATATTATAAGTGATGTTATAGATAAACTATTATATAAATGCTTGCAAGTACAATGATAGGAAGCGATAAGATTCTCGACACCTGATATCCGGACGGATATAAAACTCCAGGAATCGTTAGGATCAAATGGGAATGGAATTTAGATAAACATTCGTGTTATGGGGTTAGTGATAATTGCTATATTAAGCAGAATCAAACATTTATCAATAGTTAATGTAGTCTTCATCCTGGCAGACGGCCCAATTACATGACATGATATAAAATTAGTTGTTCTATACAATTAAAAGTTACATTTCCACGAGTACCCTGATATACCTACAAAATAAATGTTTTATAAAGTATTATGATGTAACACCCAAATTTTGGCAATTTTAAAATATACCTCAAATTTCGCATCCCTCTAAATTCGACTAAATCAATTTTATAAAATTCTAAACATCAAAATGAACAATTTGATATATAGCACTATGCATGAATTTTAAACGTATAAGATGTAAAATTACAATTTTAATTAAACTTTGATCCTAATTAACTCTCTAATCTCTCCATGGGCACTGTAGCCACTGTCATTCCTTCATGATTCTCAGCCGAAGAATGGTTCGAACATTTGAGATCCAATGGAATCACATTATATGTCACACTTTCCTTTATTTCCCCCCTCCCCCATCATTGTTTTCACATGCCTGAAGGGTGTAGCGATTGGTTCCCGTAGCAAGGCAAAAATAGAGACGTGACGAATGACTGAGCATAGAGCCACGGTGCACACCTAAGAGTTCCAGGGAGAATTTAGTGAGTAGGAAACCCTCTTCCACGACATTTGTAACAATCATTTCCTTACTCTTTCATTTTGACGTTTGCCACGAATGTGCACTTTTTCGTACCCTATAACTGTAACGGGAGATGGTGTAGTGTCGGAAGCTGCAGACTTGACTTTTAGCTTTCAAATTGGCCCATTAGCAGGAAATCGACAAAGAGAGGTGGACAGAAGATAGGAAGGAAGAAAGAAATAGGAAAGTTTTTAGGGAGGATTCATGCAGGGAAGCCCATTTAGGTAAGAAAGTTATTTTGGGGTTAAATCACAATATAAGCCCAGATTTCATGAAATCCTAATACGTTCATAAATTCATGTTGTTGTTTACACGAGGTGAAAGCTTAGGCAAATTCAAGTGAAATAATTATGTACTAACTTAAGAAAAATAGTTGTCTGTAGATTTCAATGTGATAATGTGTTCGATACTATTGCATTTAATTTTTTAATATTGTGAAAGAATACATGAATAAATCGTATGATGCAAACTTGAATTGTCGCTTAAAATACTATGAATTGACTGTGTTATGAATCCGATGAACATGTTTATAAAATCATTGTTTGCATGTATTCATTTACTATGATTCATGCATATAATGTATGAAATACTTATGATGAATGTTTTTACATGACTTATGATTTAAGAGATATTACAAGTGATGTTATAAGCATGTTATTACATGAATACTGGCAAGTATGAATGATACAGAACGATGGCATTCTCGACTTATGGTATTCAAATAGAGACGGAACTTTGGAAAACGTTAGATTAGATGGGGACGAAATGTAGGGACTTGTTGGTATCAGGGGAATTATTAATAACTGTTATGTTAGGAGGGGTCCAACCTTTATCAATAGTTAATGTAGACTACGATGAATGTTTGTTATAAGAATTATGATTTAAGAAATGTCACGGGTGATGTTATAGGTGAGCTATTACATGAATACTTGCAAATACGGAATGTAAGGAACAATGGGATTCACAACTTCTGGTATCCAAACGAAGACAACTCTAAGAATCGTTAGATCAGACGGGGATGAAATGTAGAGAATAGTTTGTACCAAGGGACTATTGATAATTGCTATGTTGGGAGGAGCCTAGCATTTATCCATAGTTAATATAGCCTTCGAATTGGGTGACAACCCAATGACGTGATATGATAGGACATGAAAATAATTGAGGGATAAACAATTATAAGTGATTCATATAATTAAATTGATGACTTTTAAATATATTTATGATTACACATGAATGAATAAAATACATATTTTATAAAACAATCATGATTTTCTGCATTACATATTTTTTCGTTTACATATTTTATACGATTATAACAATATTGTGACGTGTTATGGAAATTTTGTTGACAAAGAAAGCTGTAGGAGAATGGGCCGCTGGAAACGCAACTCCCCCTGATGTCTGTGCAAGGAAGTTAAAAATACTGCAAGAGAAATGGTCGGCGACGGATCAAGTTGCAGGAACCAAAGCTGTGTTTTTGTGGAAGAAGAGTAGGAATAACACGAAGCAATGCTAAATTTCAGTGAAAAAGCCGCGTTGTTTCTCGCGACTGGGAAGAACAGTATAAAAAATTTGATTGGTTTCATGCGAGAAAGCCCTCAGGGTAAGAACAGCGGGAAGGTCCTGCGGGGAAGAACAAAAGGAAGATTCTACAATAGGGAGGGATGGTAGAGAAGCCACCGGCACACAACTCATCAGAGAAGAGTCGTCAATGAGTGGGAGAGGCGACCGAGAGTAGTCCGGTAGAAATATTATCGGGAGAGGCCGTCGGTGAGAGGGCAGCAAAAATCCATAGTTGATTGCCCACGCGATATACCCTCGACGAGGATCTCAAGGACGTCATCACTCTAGATGCGCTCCAATTTCGCAACAAGAAGGTCTAAGACTGGAATCCAGGGATCAACTCTTCAGCAGAGGGAGGTCTGGCAGTTGGAACTACTTGCCAGGAGGATCACCGGCAGCAACCTTTAGAAAAACCGATAGGAAAGAGGGGAGTCGACTGCAATTAGGGTGAAAAACGATGGCAACTAAAGATCTACACAGCATATATACAATAGCTCTTTATGGGAAAAAAATTGTTAGGCAGGACAGCCAACAACAGAAAATTATCCACGGAACAAATCTCTGCTGGAGGAAAAATAGTAGGAAGAAAAACCGTTGAGATATTGCCGTTTTTTTCTGGTGGCCGACAAAGTTGAAGCTCTCGGCTCAGGAAGGGTCAGCCGACAGGCCAAGCCTGCAGGGAGAGAAGATGAAAAAATCATTGTTTTAAGTACGAAGATAATTACCCCTACCTTCCCGCACGGAGGATGGCAGGAAGGGAGTCCGGTAGTTCTGGAAGGAGGACTGGTAGCTAGGGTACGAAATTAAACCCTTAAACCATGTTGAAATTTAAAATAATACAAAATATTTTTATTGATATAAAAAGAGGGTATAAATAGGGCTGTAAACGAGCCGAGCTTGAGCGAGCTCAGGCTGGGCTCGTTT